CCCAAACCCAAACCCAAACCCAAACCCAGAGGAGACAGATCCTCTCTCATCAAAACCTCTTCCTCTCGGTTTGATACGTAGGATCCCTGTTTTTAGGCAAACTTCTTTGAGTTTGATCTCTATTTCTTCCTTATAATTGTATTTTTATACATTTAAAAGATTTTTTGGCAGGTAAGATATTTTTTAATTTTAATAATAAAAAATAAATAGAAAAACATTATTGAGTTTAGTTATTTAAAATTATGTAAAGTACAAGTAGTTACAATTAGGGAAGAAGAAATCTCTTTACCATAATAATTTCTTTAGTTCGTAAGAAATCAAATAAAAGTCCGAAGAACCATCACTATATCAAGAGTAACATGAATTGAAATACTAATCTATTACTAATTTGTGATTACGACCAAATTATTAAAACATTTGAAAAAGCAAAAGTTTATTATTAAAAAGTTTATTTTCTTGTAAATCTTAAATGATATAAAATAACAAATAATTTCCAAAATCAAATAGATAAAGGGTCTAAGATTCAAAAATCTGTTATTTTCTGACCAATTTTTAATAATTTAATTAGAGGATCTACCTATAATGATAATTAATTTGTATTTTTTGCGATCAATTATAGAGATTAAATTAAAAGACATTGCTTTAATAGTTATACTGAAATCTAATTATTTTAGTCTAAAAGTATGACAATAGTTTTTATCAAAAATCCTAGTTCACTAGTTAATTTTCTTTCATTAATATTCTTACATAACAGAAATAGAGGTTTAAATAATATATATTAACATATGACAACTTAATGAAGGTATTTAGCAAATCAAAATATTTATGTTTTACTGTAATTTGAAGCAACATTTTAAAATAATTAAATGCAAATGGCTTATTTGTAATGAATGCAATTGAAATTCCTATTTTGTGAGTTGATTTTATAAAACTATTCTTTGTTCTTCTTTTAATTTTAATTGGGGCGATTTTAATTTCCATTATTTACCCGTTTATTGGGAATTTTATATCAAAAAAAAGTCATTTTTTTAAATTTAGATATTTATTTTAATAGAATTAGAAAATTTAGATAAGATTTAATTAAGGAGATCATCAAAATCAATAAATAATAGGGTTTCGTATAGATAATAAATGCCCAAATTAAAGACCTTATTATCATTTTTGCTTGCAGCGACACTCTTAACAACTTAATAATGTAACAAATCTTGAACTTCTTTCTTAATGGATTAAGTAGAGAATCCTTAATATTCAGAATGTTTAAAAAAATGTTTAAATTTGTTCCTTCCTTATAGGTATTAATCAAATAAATGAGCGCATCTAAATGATGTTGTAATCTAGTATTTTGTCAAGCAAAGAGGATGGTAATTTGCTTAAAATTTTTTTAGAAATCATCACAGAATATTGAATCGATTTTATAGGAATTAATCATGGCCTATGTCAAATATCATATTTTTGATATCAACCTGCTGTCATCAATTTTAATTTCATCACTCTTTATTAAAGTATATGAAAATTTTACAAACATTTCCACTTTAAATAATATTGTCACAACCATTAGTTTATTTTAATGTTATTGAATAATATCTCAAAATAATGCAAGATAATATTTATCAAATAATAAACCAAATTATTTTTATTTTATTGGTCCATATACAGGCACAAATTAAATTAAATTTATTTGAGATCTCATTTAGGTAAATAATGTTGTTTCCATTCGTTAAATTTATTTCGTCATTTTTAGTACTTAATATCCTTCATAAATGAGTATTAAAATTTTATATAATAATAATAATAATTTAATTGTACTAAAAAAAGAATATTGTTTTCCTACCAACTACTCAGATGTCTAGAAGCAGTTGTAGGATAGTACATGTTCCTGTTAATGAACTATCGCTTTCAACTATCTAAAAAGAGATTTCTAGAAGCTAAGACACTGAGATAATAATAGAAAATCTAACTTTATATTTTAATCAAGAGTGAGAAGCAACTCATATCATTTCCCGCCATATTTATTATGTTTTCAGGATTCTTATCATGGCAATTGGAGGGGCTTCCCTCCAATTCCAAAAAAAATCTTCAACTAGTCAATCAGCTTAAAGGTAAGAAATACTGACTTGATTATTTTGTTAAAAAGATAATTACAAACACAATATAAAATTTATCTCTCTATAGTATTTATCAATATGAGATGATTTTTAATAAATTGTCTCCATGTCCATCAGCATATTTTTAGATATTAAGTTACCTAATATCAATATTTTAGTTTACAGTTTTCTAGATAAACTCTAGTTATTATTAATATTTACGAATATGACTCTAAAATTTCCTCGAATATGTGTATCATCCAATTCTACTGACGAAAAATAAAAAAATTAAACAATTGGTTCCCAAATTTTCATATCATTAATTTTAACTAAAATTGCTTATCTCATTCAAAAATGAAATGGCTCTTCATTTTATATATAAAGAATTAAACTTTGTACTAGGTGTATAAATAAATTCGAGCCAAAAGGAGAAAAACGACATTCAAAATAAAATTAAAGATAATTCATTCGCTTAAATAATTTATAAAAAATCTGCTCCTTTTTATTGTATTAATAAATAATATTAAATTGATTATTATTTAAAACTTAAATTAATGTTTAAGTATTATTCTTCTTTTTGAAAATTCTAAAATTATTTTTGGTATCTTTATGGTTTTATTATTGAAATTTTAGCAATCAACCCTTATTTGATCAGAGTCTTTATTTTTTTTCTAAAATATCATGTATAATAAATAATAGTTTATTTCTTTTATTATTATATATAGAAATATATTATTAAATGACTTAAAAAATGGTGATTAAATGATTTTTATTTTACAATAATTAATCTAATAAAAAATGAATATCTTAAATCAAAAATAATCACAGGAAAACCAAGAAAAAATATACAAAATTTATAATTTAGAATTGATTATTGTAGATTTAGACTTATCAGATAAACCTCAGGTGTAATTCTTTTTGTGGCAAATTTTTAGTAGAGAAATTAAATAACAAGATTAGTAGTTAAATATAGATACATTATAAGAATTATATCATTAATTCTAAAATAAAATTTTTGGATAATGTACCAGTTTGATGATTAATAATTTTTAATATACATTCATATTAAATTTTTTTCAATTCTTTAAAATAATGTCAATTAAGCCTAAAAGAAATTTACTCGATAAAAATTTCATATTCTATCATCTTTTAACATTTATTTTTAATTATCATTAAAATACTAAAGGCTTCTATTTGAATTATAATAATCATAATTTCATTGTTAATGAAATAAATCCTCGATTGAAGTCTAAACAATACAAAATAATCATTCTTTGATTAGTTATTAAGTCAAAACTAATAAAACGTTCTATCAAGAGTAAAGATCAAATCCATTTCATCAATTCTTTTATTATTGACTAGATTTTGTTCTTTGCTGGAGGCTCAAATACTTCAAGGTTTATTTTCGAAAATATCATATATATAGATCATAAAATTAAATTATTTATTTTAGCAGTGCTTAAGTTATTTAAAATAATATCATTTCATTTCAATAAAATACAGAGTATCACACTATGATTTATTGATTGGGAAACTTCGTTACTAATTTAAAAAGAATGTAAATGATGGTAGATTTACAGATTTGATATGTATAATTTATTGTTAATCATAAGATTATGTAATTTTCAAAAGAATAAATATATTAGAAAAAAGAAATTCAAGAAGATTTAAGCAGAGAAGAAATTATTGAAATTACTAAAGTTAGTAATATATAAGGATATTTTAAACTTATATAATAAGGAGGGATTAAGGAGCTGCTATTTACTTAATTTCAAATCTAATTAACTCTCTCTCATCTAAAGGTTTAATTTGAAGTCTCTGTTTCAAGAAAATTAAAAGATAGCATTTTTTTTAACAAAAAGGCATAATCTATTATTTAAGAATATGGTAAATTGATTAAAAATTGATAATTTTTGTGAAATTCACAAATAATTTTTCAATGGAGATATTTGGTAGTAATAATAGCCATGTCATCAAGTTCTCACTTTACTTTTAATTTATTTAAAAGAGAAACTCTTACTTTAATTGAATTAAGATTGGTAAAAAAGATAAAATTAAAGTAGACATTATTTTTGAATCAGAGAATATTAAATAGATTTTATTGTAATCATTATTTTTAAACTCAGTTACTTAAAGCTTAAATTGAGAAATTGTATTTTTATTTTTCACTCGAGATAATTGATATTATATGAATGTGAAAGGACAGACAAATAATTCAGTTCTCGATTGCTTTTTTAATTATAAGAGGTTTTTTTTTGGATGAATTTGAAATATTGATAATAAATAATAGGATAAGCGAGGATTATTCTCTATGGCTTCAAAGTTATAATAAACCGCTGTAAACTATATCTGAAACTTTATTCAATCAAACCAATACTAGAACTATTTGCAAGTCACAGATAAAAACAGCACTTTTAGAGTTATTATTGTTCTCTTGTTGTTGGCAAAGGCAAGACATATGTCTAAATTTATGTATTTCTCCCACTTTAAATCATATTTTATTTTGAATTTATATAATTAATTAAATAAACATAAATATCTTATGCAAACAACATTAGAAATTGAAAAAAAAATTTGTTAAGTCCACAAATTAGAGATTGTAGCTGTCATTAACTAGAATTGATGACAAATATTTATGCACTAGGTGTCTAGCTGAGAGAGTCAATAAAGAAAATATGGCATTGCTTAATGAAGCTACAGAGATGATATAAAGCATGAAAACCTAATCTTTAAAACTTGTAAAGGAAGAAAATGTCCTTAGATTAACTAATTTAAAATAATTATAATCATCCATAAAATCATTCAAAAATTAAATCAAGACAGAACTTGGAAAATTGCTTCAATTAATTGATCAATAAATGGAATAGATCCAAATAGATATTGAATCAAAGGAATAAAAGTTAGAAATCAAAAATTATGATGAGGAAATTCAAATTCTATCAAAAAATTATATTGGAAATTTTAGTTACAACATACCTAGACAGCAAACATATAAGGAAAAAGACTAGGTCCTTGTGTAATTAATCTAGGAATCATTATAATCTCAGTCAAAATCATAACATTATATCTAAATAATGGAATCAATAGATTTAATTAGATCTAGTGTACCAATAAATTAATAAGCAAAAATCAATGAAATACCTGCCAAAGAATTTTATTAAAATGTAATTTATTGTTTTAATATTAGAAAACTCCTTGTCTTAATTAAATATGCAATAAACATAATAAAGAAATAATTATGCTGAATGTTAATCATACTGAACCTAAGTTTGGTCGATTGGCATGTGTAGAATGTATTCAAGAAAATCCTATTTAATATATTAGTTTAAAAGAAGCAAATAATATGTGGAATACTTTTATAGGATAATCAGAAGATTTAATTTCAAAACATAATTTTAGAAGAGAAAAAACATTTAAAATGGTTATAGAAGAAATTAAATAACTAAAAGATTATTATAATAATTCATTATCAGAAATGTTGTCGTCAATAGATGAACAGCTCATTAAAAATAATAAAAAGTTTTTAGACTTCCTTAAATTAGAAAATAAATAGATTTTTGATTTAGATGAAAAATAAGTTGAGAAAATGATTGATTTATTAAGTTAATAAGATAAAAATAAACATATTCTATAGTAATAGGAGAAGCAAGATAGACTTGATAAATTATTTTATCAAAATGTCAAATCCAAATTAAAAACCCTTATCAAGCATGATTTACTTTGCAAGTAATAATTGATGACAATTTTATAAGATTAATAAAGTAAACTTAATTGATGTAATTTTTAGATAATTCAGACCTAGGAAATAGAGCTGATATTCAAATTACTCCTGAAATACATGAGTTTATATCTAAATGTTAATTGTAGGAATAATACTTATAAATTTATAATGAATCAGTTGATTTACAAATAGAATTATAGAAAGAAGCGTAATAGCTTGAGTAAAAAGGTCAACTTGAGCAGTTATTTAATTTGAAGTAAAAAATGATACCGATGATGTAAAATCTTCTTTCCTCTAATAATAATATAAATAATATGAAATAAATTCAGAAAAAATGAGGAAATTGATAAATGCTGATGAAAATGAGTAATAACTGTTATTAATTACTAAATAAAAAGAAGAATTGAAACTAAAAATTGATGAGGAAAAATTAGAAATTAAATAAATTAAATAAAAAATTGTTGATTTAGAAGAAAATATAAATCAAAAACTCCTCAAATAAGAATAAGAATTTGTTCAATAATGCAATTAAGAAACAATTTAAAATAATTAACTAAAGTAAAATTTAATGGAATTGTCTCAGTCGAGTGAAATAAAATTGGAACAATTAACTACAAAATATAATGAGCTGAATTAATAAATTAATGAAGTATAGACAGACTTAAAAGAGAAAGAACAATCCACTACAGTTGAAAATAAACTATAATCTTTAAAAAACAATATAGAAACATAACTCATAACAGTTGATCAAAAAGTCGAAAAGTTGACAGAAACAATTAGAGAAGTAGATACTTAACAAACTTAATAAACTTAATTATAGAAGTAAGAGTTAATATAACAAATAAATGATGAAATATCTTCCAGAAATTCATAAATTGAAAAAAGTTTAGCAAATCTAGGAAGAAAATGGATCTAAATTTAGGAACTAAGAATAATAGTTATCATCTTTATAATGATCCATAGATGAAGGTGACAAGGCTCAACTATAATTAGAGTAGAAATTAAATAAATTAAATAATGAAAATAAATAGTAGATGCAATAGTTTGATGATAAGGTTAACTAATAGAGTAATTAATTAAAAAATATCAATACCGAGGTTTTAGAAAATACTAAAAATTCAAAAATGCATTAGGAGATGTTGAAATGTATGGCTCCAAAATCGCCTACACTTTATTTTAATAGTTAAACTGCAAAGTAATTCATGATGTAAGCATTCTTGGAATTAAAATTTGATAAGATACTATAGCCAAATCTACTTAAAGAAGAGTTTTGGATCAAAATATTTTATATTTTATAAGAGAAGACTAAAAAAGTTATCAAATAGTCTGATTTGATTTATTAAGGCACAAGAGATGGATTAAATAATTAATAATATTGGAATAGTGTGGATGGTAAAGGTAACTTACTTATGGTATTTAAATCCAAATGTGATTATATCTTTGGAGCATACTCTCCTTGTAAATGGGAATCAAATAGTAGTAATAAATATGTAGAAGATAATACATTATCATCTTTTATATTTTCATAAACTCATGATTAAGTTTATCCTTTGAAGTAAGATTAAAAATAATATGCTATTTATTGTTTTTCAAAATATTATGGACCTGTATTTGGAGATGGACATGATATTTGTATAAGTGGTAATTTTACTGATGGTTGTTCTAGATTAGGTCATTCATATTAATTTAGTTAATACAAGAATAAAAATGATGATCCATATTTATTTGGATAAAATAAGCCAGAAATAAAAGAATGTGAGATATATCAATTATAATTTGTTTGACTTGAAATTTTTATTTAACATTGTTTGTATAAGAATTTAATCATTTAAGTATGGTTTAAATAAAAGCCACTTAATTGTGTAAACGATAATTATATATAAATTAAAAGTCAACTCATAATAACTAGAAACAATATATAAATTTATTGTTTATAAACAATCAAAAAATTATTCAATAGGAGTTTTAATAGTTTATGGAGAAGGAAATTTAATTCCTTTCACCACAAAATCATTTTGAGAAACCTTGAATAAGAGAATGATAGTTAAATGAGATTTAATTTTAATATTTAATTCTGTTTTTAGTCAGAACAGCTATATTTTATAAGGAAAATAAGTTACTCTCTAAATAGTCTTTTTGCCCTCGAGATTTTATAAAATCCTATCTAAATATTTATTTATTTTTATATAAAGCATCTTAGGCTTAATAAATTTCGAATTAAATATATCTAATTAGAAAATAAATGAATAGTTTTTGATAATTAAGAGTGGAAAAAATTAAAATTAAATCTGTTTCATATCTCAAAGCAAGAATCATACATTATTTGAGCATCAAATTAATTCATACATTAGGTATTATATAGAGTATAATAAAATTACTTAAAAAATACAATTGTCCTGCTTAGATAAATAGGAATAATCAAAATAAATAAGATTAAAATGAAAAGATAAACAATTAATTCTGAAAAAGAAACTATTTCGAATTTAAAAACAAAAAAAATAAATTTATTATTATTTTGCACTATATTCTTATTAAGAATACTTAATTTTAAACTTACAATTTTATTTTAGTTTAATCATCAAAGGCTTTCAATTTTATAATTTAATTTAAACAAAGTAAAAGCTTCTAATTATCATTATCGAAGCCTGACTTTATTGCTTCTTATAATGATTCTCATGGTTTAATTGATCAATATTATATTTGCTTTATAAATAAATTAATAAGTTTAACATATTATTATTCTTTAAATAAAAAAAATGAAGATGCATAGAAAATGAAAATCCCATAAATTAGAAATAGATTTAAATTCATTCAATAATGATGAATTTGATTTTAATTATTTTATTTTATTGCTTAATATTAAAATCTTAATCATACCAATACCTAAGTTAAAATTAGTAATAAAAAGTTAGGTTTTGATGATTCAATAATAATATATAACTAATATAAAAAAATAAGTTAAATAGAATAATACTTTTTTATAATTTCTTATTATTGGTCTATTGTAGTTTATAAATTAGTTTTAATATGTTTAAATACATATGAATTCATAATATTGTTATAAATCTAATACTGCTATTTGAAGAAAAAAGTTAAAAATGAGCTAAGATAAATAAATAATTTCTATTCTTCTCAAATTTTCAAAAGCTAAAATTTAATCGAGAGGTTTGATTTTTATTCTTGGCTAGAAAAAATTAATTTCAATTCAGTGATTACTTATTTTATCTATATAAGGACTTCTTTAACATAAATTTTAATTAAATTTTGTGATAACAGATATTTTCATTGTAAGCAAGATCGGATTTTAGAATATCAATACCATCTCTAGTTATCCAGGAAGTTAATTTCTAAATAGATGGCCTATGGAATTAATTGAGTTACGGGTTTCCCACCTTAAACTGATATCATCAAAAGTATTAATCTATTGAGAAGAAAGTATCTAAGAAGGAATTTGAAATTAAAAATGTAATTGAGAAAGCTTAAAAAAGAATTTCATCCAAAAAGCATGTTGCTGGTTAGGATATAATAAAATCAATTTTTTTGTCTGAGGATCTTCATTTCTACCCTAGCGAAATATGGACTTAAATGTATTCTACCTTTGAATTTATTTATTTCAAATAAAGGAAGAGTTACATATAAGCATGATAAAGGAATAATTCTGGTTTTAAGCAAGAAGTGTTTCTTTCTTCATATGAATGATTCTTACAAATGGCCTCCATGATTTGAAAATTTTCACTTTTTTCTTGTTCAGGAAAATATGAAAAGCAGTTCAAAAAAATTCTAGAGGATTATCAAGAATATTTGAAATCGACTCTGCTATTTTAAGGGATATCCTAAATTTTTTTAAGTGGAATAATATTGTTTGCTCTAGTATGATAATGCGAATGATAATTCAATGAATAGTTTGAGAATTGCATTAGCAATAAGCCAAAATAATGACCTAAGATGAGAAGAGTAAGTTCGATGCAATATATCTTATGATAAGACACTTGTAGGGAAAAACATTATATAGCACAGCCTTTCTTAAAGACTATTTCCCAGCAATATATAAAAAATCGAAGGATTTGGGTGATTATTATATCATGTAGATTTAACAAATGCCAAAATTATTGAATAGCCCTGATTCTTCATTTATTATGCCTTTAATTTGCCTGAAGAATAAATGATTTATTAATAATTATTTTTTAATTAAATTTTTTCTTTTATAAATCGATTTTTTAAAATGCCTAAATTTTAACGATCCCCCTCATTTATCTGCTATTTTGTTGATGATTAAAAATAACTTTTCATTAAATTAGATAAATGAAATTTATAAAAACAATAGATATGTAACTAATATGGGTAATACATTTGTAGAAAATTTCAACCCAGAATAAGCAATTATATGTTATTCTTTACCATACATTTGCATTCAATTGTAAATAGTCTTTTTGCTTTTTGATTCTTAAAATTAAGATTATATTGTGAAATAATTCACAAACCGATAAAGTTTATATTAAAAATTTATTTACTTGGATTTCAATTATTTATAAAATCCTAAAGCTTATTAAAATATTATCAGTTAATTAAAGTTTAAATACCAGAATTTAGTAAAGAAGGAATGAATGTAAAATTCTATTTCGATTATAATTTTATTTAAAATTCTTTTGGTTTTTATTTATTTTCTTTTTTTGGCTTTTCCTTTGTTTCTTTACTGTTTCAGTATATCATTCCAGAATGTCTTCTTTAAGTAAAAATGAGAAATTTTACAAAAAAATAATTGAAAATTATTGCAACTTTTTATTAATCACTTTAGCCAAAAAGTTTAAATGTGTTAATATTGCAATATATCACTAATATTTATTAAACAATGTTATAAATTTTCAATGGTTTTGAAAAAGAAGAGATATTACAGGCTTAAATAATATAGACCCAGTAGAGCTAAAAAAAATTTCTAAAATGAATAAGATGTTTTACTTGAAATAATAGAATGAAAATCAGATTTTTTAATAATAACTAAGACTGATTGATAAATACGGGTTAAAAACTATTTGAGCCTTTATTCAAATAAAACGCTAGCTAAATCATTTAGACTTTTAGTAAGTATAGTACACATAGTTTAAATGAAACATTTTTAAAAGAAGCTGAATATTATCTGTAATATATAAGCATTAATTATAAAATCGTGTTACCAACTTTTAACCATGTCAAATTAATGAGATAATTATTCTTTATATCTGAAGAAGATAATAGTCTTTTCAAATTTTAGATTTGAAATGCAATCAAATCTTTAACTTTGCCTTTAATAGTATTTTATTCAATTCTCTAAAAATTGCTCATATTTCATAAAAAAGCAATATTAAGGAGGGAAATCATATAGAAAATTAATATTATTTTTTCTGTGTAAGAAAAAGGTTTCTTTACTCGAATTCAATCTTATTTATAAAAGCGAATAAAGTGGTATGTCTTATGTTGATCTCATAATATCGTTTTTTTCTGTAAGCAACTTTCCTCCTTTTTTGATTGACAATAAAAAATAATTTGCTTCACTTATATTAAAAATATGAATGGAAATTTTTTTCAAATTCAGTATTGTTATTTTAAGTCTTGGTTTAATTAGACAAGGATTGAATTATATTGAAATTTTTCATCAAAGAAAAAAGTTTTAATTTGCAATCATTTAATAATTTAACAAGTAATATTTTTAAATAGTCTGATTTGATTTATTAAGGCACAAGAGATGGATTAAATAAATAATAATATTGGAATAGAGTGGATGGTAAAGGTAACTTACTTATGGTATTTAAATCCAAAAGTGATTATATCTTTGGAGCATACTCTCCTTGTAAATGGGAATCAAATAGTAGTAATAAATATGTAGAAGATAATACATTATCATCTTTTATATTTTCATAAACTCATGATTAAGTTTATCCTTTGAAGTAAGATTAAAAATAATATGCTATTTATTGTTTTTCAAAATATTATGGACCTGTATTTGGAGATGGACATGATATTTGTATAAGTGGTAATTTTACTGATGGTTGTTCTAGATTAGGTCATTCATATTAATTTAGTTAATACAAGAATTAAAATGATGATCCATATTTATTTGGATAAAAGGAGCCAGAAATAAAAGAATCATTTGATTTAGACGCCATAAATATTATTGTTGTACAATAAAATGATTATGATAAAAAACTTAATGTTATCACAAGAATAACAATTTCTTTATGTGTTAATTATTAGACGGACTAATTTACTAAATATTATTAGGTTTTATTTTTGATATCATTAAAATAAAAAAACTTAGTAATGAAAACATGAATTAGATGTTATTTATTTTTATTATAACTATTACAGTTGTAAGTATAATTGGATCTTTGAACAAAGTAAATTATAATAATTTAAACTGTGATCCTTATCATTTCAAAGGATTCTCCTTAAGTAGAATTAATGTAATACTTATTTATTCTTAGAACCTAATAATGTAAAGAGGATGAATAAATAATAGTTCTATAACAATTATCTTAAGAATAAAATTAGTGTATGATTGCCTTTAAAAACTAGATCAAAGATAGAAATATCAGAAGAATAAGAATGATCGAAAAGTATCAGATCAAAGGTACTTTCACAAAAAAATGGTTGGGCTGAACGAGTTATTATGTGTAACTTTGGAATGAACCAGTTATCTACAATATAAGAAGTTTAGATATTAATTAGGAAATTCTAAATTGATAAGTTTTCTTTAAATGCTACCAGTATTTCAAAACTAATTAAAATTTTCTTAAGAACTTTTATATCCATAAATCATTTTTGTATTATCTAGACTATCATTTACATATCTTCAGCTTTCATTATGTATTTAAATATTAGTTCTAATTAAGATAATTTAATGTTGTCATTGGCTGGAGAATTTTGTTAATATTGATTTTAAAAGGGATTCATAAATTGAACCTTCTTGAAAATTATTTTTATAACATGGATTTTACTCTGGCTAATCTACAAATAAACCAAACTTTTTATCATAATTTTTGGGGGCTTTTTAAAAATTTTGAATCTCCAAATTATACTAATGTTAATATCAATTAGTCCTTCATTAGTTTAAATTATTAAAATATTATTATTTTCTTTAATAGAATAGTATTTCAGTGTATCATCTAACAAAGAGTATTATTTATTAACTTTTTCCGACTTGTCATTTAATCATATCTTTAAAAAAACCACAAATTGATGAATCATAAATAAAAAGTTTAATAAACCTCTGAATTACTATTTATATAATTTTAATAACTCTAACTATGAGCTGATTTGTGAAAGATTTTCTATTATAAGCTTTAGATCAATCTGTTTTTGTTTAAGATAATTAATGTGAATTGAGATTATTGTAAATTGAATGTTCTCCTGTATAAGAGTCAATTATATTTGTTATATCCTTTATTTTATATTTTAAGGAATCTAAATTAATTTAATTGCTAAAGATTGGGTAAAATGAAAAATTTGTAAAACACTTACTCCAAATTAGTAATAATTAGAATATCAATTTTATTTTGGAAGAAATAAAAGAAGGAAGAGTTTAGTTTAAAAAATTCATCAGATTGGCATATACTTAATTTAATCATTTATAAATAGAGAATATTTTTTAATTAACTGATATTGAATCAAATTTTATAAATACTATATATTAAGTACATAAATCCAATTAATTGGGAAAATTAAGAAATCATCAACTATGACTTGATAATTCATCATGCTTTATTATCAAACAATTGCCTTGGTAATTCTTAGAATTAAAATGATGACAATTAGTAATTTTGGCCCATAGTAATCTATTAAACTTTGACAGAATTTAACCATTAATTAAAATATATTACTGACTCCAATATATCGACACTTCTTATCAAACATTTTTCATTTAGTAGTTTAATTAATTAACTTTTATAATAAGTAGACATATAAAATTTCAATACATTTCGTTTAGATAAATGAAAAATTTTAATCATCCTAAAGCTAATTATAAATTGAAATTTGCCAATAAACCGATACAATTTTTCTAAAATATTAAAGTGTGCTGCTTTTACTAGAAAGTAGTTTCTAAAAATATATATTTTAAAATTTTTGAATTAAAAATATTGAAACAATCTAAATTTCTTGTATAAAAATGTTTATTTAGTTTTCAAATTCATTTTATATAGAAATTACAATTTCATCTTATTTAATAATATTAAATAATATACATTTTTCCTCAGGTTAAATACTTTATTTATAATTCTAATGTTAATCAAATTATTCATTTTCATAAATTTCTAAGAGAACTTGCATAATTTATAAATACCATGATTAGTTAGTACAAATTTAGAATATGCTCTAAATATAAAAGATTTATAAGTTATAAATTCCAGATAATTTAAAATTACTAGAAGCCTTTTAAATTAATTTTTATAATATTGATTAAGAAATACTTCAGAATATATCAATTTTTTGATGCTTTTTACTCATTTCAAAAATCTTTTTTATACTAAATTTGCATTCTTCAATAAAATCAAATTGGTATGGACAGCAAAATATTCAGATCATTTTAGATGATGCAATTACTAAAATCATCCTACTAAGATTTATAGATCTCTAATTAAAAATATGGCTGATATAGAAACTGAGGAAAAGAATAGATCTGATATTTCGAAGGTGTGTATTTGAAAAGTTTTTTAAAATTGTAGATTCAAAAATCTAATTAATCTTAAGAAAGTTAGTACAGATGTCATATTTCATAAATTTAAAGCTCAAAAAGTATTGCTAAAATTTATCTCTTAGTTAATCACTTTTTTTTACACCATTCTAATTTAAAATATTAAATTACTTAAGGTGAAAACTATAATGAAAATTTATTGATAATCAAATAAGGTAGATTTAATTATAATAAATTTGTTGTTAAATTAAAAAAGTATCATATCTTGGATCTAATTATAAGATTTATCATATTATTTTTAAACATGGTGTTGACCTACTTAATTATTAGCCTCAAGAAAGTTTATTAATAATGTATTAATTGTACTATTCTACTTAAATGATTTTGATTTCAAAATTAATATTATCAATCAGCATCCACAGAAAATTTAAAATCTAATAATTTTCTATTATCTGTACATGTAAAAATATTGAATTAAACTATTTGTTAAAATAAGTGTAAAACAATCAGGGTGTTATTTAGAATCCTGTACTAAATATGAAAAACACAAAATTTTTCAAATAAATAATATACTTCTACAAAAATTAAATTGGTTGCTATAATATCTAATAACTGAATTACTATATATTGTAAGTCAATTCCACATAATTAAAAAGTGAATTATTCAAGGTTTAAATAGTCCAAGATATTGAAATATAACTTGATTTCCGGGATATAATATTGAGGGGACCGAGTTAACTTAAATTCTTGAATTGGTAATTCCATAAATGCAGATAAATCTCTTGTAGCCAATAAATGATATCAATTAACTTTAGGAAAGACATCTGCCATTTTTCTTATGATCGATTTTACAATGAAAGTTAACTGTAAATATTATTTTTAATTCTTATTTAGTTTTTTACTTTCCAAAATTTTTAGATCATTTACCTTAACACGCGAAATTTCTTTAAGAAATTGGATTTTCTCTACTTTTAGGAAAAATAATTACAGATTTACAAATATCCAAAATTTATTTAATTCAAAATTTTAGTTGGGATTTAAAATATTCTAACATTCTTAATCATATAATAAAATTTTGTTAGTAAATTAATATTATTTTTATCTTAATCTAATCTTTGAATTGCCCTACGATGTTTAAATATATTTTCCAAATATAAAACTACTTAATACAAAAAAAGTTATTTCTTTTAATCAAAAGTTATCCAAAAATTTTAGATATTAAATTAACATCATTCATTGAAACTAAAATGGTTTTTCTGATTTATTTATTGAACCATCAGTCGATTATTGTTAATTATAATTAAAGAGAGTTTTAAAATATATTTGTAAATTTTTTATAATCGCTTCACAAAAGATCTTTCTTATTAATTATATTCTATTCATTTTATATACAAGATACAGCTTACACTACCAACTAAGCGATGTATTTAACTTTTCCTATTTTCCCATTTCTTTTAGATCATTTTTTATCCTCAATTTTCCTCTAGATTAGTTTTTAATTCGTTCAATCTTTCTTATATCAAATCAATATAATCTGATTATTACTTGATTAATTTGTGTATAATACTTCTCTAAACTCCAAAAAATTAATTTAACTTATTATTTGCTTAAATTTGCCAGCATTTATACTCTATTATTTAATATAATCAATCAAATAGTCATTAAAAATTTTTACTCTCCATTTCCACTATTATTGCTTCATTAAACTTTTATTTTATAATTAGAAAGGGCTAATTCTATCATGTTCAGGTATACCAATAAATAAAATAAATATTTTATCAATAATTAGTTTAAACCTTATTGATTATTTTTTTTTCTTGAATTACACTCTCTCAATTATATGAATGTTTTTAATATAAAAATTACCCAAATTACTACGAATTAATCATATCTGATGAGAATGTTATCAAACTCAAGAACTAACCTGACTAATAAATAATAATAATAAATTATTGAAGTACTGTGATCTAATTTACAGAAGAACTCATAATTTTAGAACACTTTGATCTCTCTTAAGAATAAGAGCAAAGGTTATTATTTAAAAGCAATTCATATTTATTGCAAGTTCAAATAAATCTAGAGTCAAATATTTAGAATCTTAAAATGTACAAGTTATTAAATCGATATATCTAATATATATTTATTCTTTATTATCAATATATATATTAATAATAAAAGTTTACTTCACAAGATATATTATTGCTTAAATACAATAATAATTATTTTGAATAATGAGTTTTTAAATAATTTTTATCCTGGTTGCCTTAATTTAAGATGTGAATTCAGAATGGAAATTATTATACTCATATTTTTATTTGGATCAGAAATTTACTGAAGAGATTGGAACTAAATTACCATATTTGACTTCCGACAGATTTTGGTAGCCATCGAAGTAAACAACAGCTAATTATATAAATTGCAGTATACCTTAAACAAGTTATACCACTCTAAATAGTGCAAATCCATAAGCTTAATCAGCTGAATAATATACTTATAATAATGGATATTTTTTTACTGTGGATTTATATTTTCATGGTACATGGACATCTGAAATTGTTAATATTACGATAGGCTCATTTTCACACTTCACCTACAAATTATTAAATGACCTCTGGATTTTGTGATGACCTTCCATATGAAATTAGAACTGTTAATTTTATAATGGAAATGCCTAATCCAATATCTGGTTATTTGTCGTTTACATCATCAAATACTAATGATGGATAAGTTTCAATTAGAAATATATTTGTTTCAGTTCCCAAATGTTACCCTTCTTGTTAATAATGCACAGGTCCAAAATTCAATTAATGTAAAAGTTGTTATTATGGATTACCTACAAACAATAGTTGTCCTCCTTGTCCATCTAATTAATATTATAATAAAGAATTTGGATGCAGAGACATTTGCTTTATTGATAATCCTTATTACTATAATGGATTTTGTTAATCTTATCCAAGTATTGAATTAAAATATCTTAGTTAATATTATTGCATAAGGACCATTAGGGATGTAAAAATATCATTGGTTTAATATATATGATCCACTACATGTAGATACATCTCCAAATTTCATATATACTAATGATTACGGGATTTTTAAGTTTAATTCTGGTATCTACAGATTTTATAATTCCTTATCTACTTAGGCAATTTATGGAATTGGTTTTTACATCAGTCTTTTAACCTTTAATGATATTCCCCTTAATTGTGGGATATAGTTTTTGATTATGGACGTTATAAAATTAATAATCAAAATATTTAGGATTTCACATCGAATTTTGGTGCATTTATTAATCAAATTATTTATTAATTTAATAACCCTATAATAACACTTATTTTGGTTCAATGTATAGAAATGAATCAGGAATTTAAACTCATAATATTAAAATCTATTCAACTAGTTCCTACCCGTTGTATTTAAATTATACCTCAAACAGCAGGTATTACATAATTGCATACATTGATATCCCTAAATTTCGATTTTTATTTTCAGTAATTGGAAATTATACGTATAATTGAACTATTTTAAATTAGTGATGAAACAGCTGGATGGGGATTAAGCTATGTTTAAATTACTTCAGGTTTTTGTCCTAAATATTGTTAATTGTGTGAGGTACCATTTAAATGTAATACTTGTGCAAATGGATACTATAGGTATAAGAACAATACTTGCATTGGAAGTTGTTCATAGAAATATTAAAATTTACAAGGTTCTTATTGTTACGATTTTGATGATGAAACACCTTGTATTAACTTTCTATTTATTTAGACTCATAATATTTAGTTTATGACTTTATAGGTTTAGTGCAAGATCCTGAGTAATATACATAATATAAACTAATTTATAAAAATGCCACAAATCTGTTAAAAGGATCAGATATATATTAATAAATTTTAAATAGACCTTAACTTTAATAAAGAATTTTTGGAGGGCCTTTGATATGGGCTTAAGCTAAATTTTAAAGGATTTATAATGTAGATGACCCACATCATGGGATTACCATCGCATTTTATATACTCTATGGACCAGAATTTCCTTCAGATGGTTTATTTATTTATACAGTTGAAAACAATGAGCCAGTTTCTAAATCAACCAAAAGTTATAATGGTTCATATTCTAATGGAGAAAAATACACTAGGGTATATGAAAGAATAAATCATAATACAAATACATTAACAATAAGTTGGGAATGTTTCGGACCAAATAATGAACCCATTAAAGCTTATTGTGGATTTTATAATTATTATTTAGCTGTTCATAAATGTTAACCTTATTGTTTATAATGTTTAAATGAAACTACATGTACTTAATGGAGTAGCGATTATGATGCAAATGTTGTTAAATTTTCATAAGAAGAGTGTTTAATTAACTAATATTATGATAATGATTCTTATAGTTGTTTGGATTGCCAATTACCTTGTTTAACTTGCACATCTAAAATAACTTGTTAAACATGCTAATCTACTTATACATAAACTAAATTAGGTTGGGTTTGCAAACTTAATCAATATGAAGATTCAAATCAATGTTTTGATTGTCCAATTGAATGTAATTAATGCTTAAATTCAAGCATTTGTATAGAATGTTTAGTGACTAATAATAGATAATTAAAAAATAAATAATGTATTTGTATTGATGGATACTATCCAATTTCATAAAATCCTTAATGTTAAAGATGTCATTAATTTTGTAAAACTTGCACTGGGCCTACTTAAAATGATTGTTTAATTTGCAATAATATTGTCAATATTTAAATTTTTGGAACAATATGTAGATGCCCAATAGGTTAATTTTTAAAAGCAACAGCTAATTCATGTTCCTAATGTCATTTATCGTGTTAGACCTGTCTCCAAGAAACAATTGACGGTTGTTTAACTTGTGATTCTTCTTTAAACAGAATATTAAAAGGGAAAAAATGCGCATGTGCACCTGGTTTTTATGAATTGAATAGTTTATGTACAAGTATATAAACTATTATTAATTTTAGATTGTCCAGATACAGAAGATGCTTTTTTAAGTTAATGTTATAAACTATGCATTAATAATGAATAATTATGGCATACTAATACATGTAATACTTGCGATTCTGGGTTTGATTTAATCTCTGGAGAATGCCAACCTATTTGTGGGGATTTATAAATAAAAGGATATGAATAATGCGAAGACAATAATACTAATATAGATGATTTGTGTTATAATTGTTAGTTTTAATGTCCATCTCATTGTTTAACATGTGATGAATAAACCACTTTACCTTGTCCTGATATTTGTGGAGATGGAATAATTACTGGGAATGAGGAATGTGAAGATGGGAACACTATTTAATATGATGGATGTTTTAATTGTAGATATTAATGTTAACTTCCATGTACAAAATGTATTAAAGGACAGTGTTTTGAATGTAATACAGGTGGTTGGGATATAAATCTAACAAATTAACCTTGGATATGTACAGAAAGATGCGGAGATCATCTTGTAGTCGGAGAAGAATAATGTGATGATGGAAATTAAATTGATACAGATGGATGCAAAAATTGTAAACATTTTTGTAGAATTGGATGCTCTTCTTGTAATTATACTACAAAAACTTGTTTAAGCTGCGAATTACCTGGGTTTGTTCCAGAAAGTTACTATTGCAAAAATATTTGCGGAGATTAATTAGTTGTGAAGGATTCATATGGATTCTATAAAGAGGAATGTGATTATGGAAATAGTAATAATTATGATGGATGCAATAACTATTGTCGATTTTAATGTTAAATAGAATCAGTATGTAAGAGTTGTGTAAATAATCGATGTGAATAATGCGCCCCTGAATATTGGCTTTCTGATAATAAAATATGCATTCCTATATGTGGAGATTCAATAAAAGGGAATAATGTGAGATTGAATTCATATAACCCTATAAGGGTTGTTTAAATTGCAAAGCGATATGTTAATCCTCTTGTCTTACTTGCGATAATACTGGACTTGGTTGTAAACTTTGTAAGAATGGTTATGAAAGAATTGATAATTTATGTAAATCAATTTGTGGAGACAGAAGAGTAACATAAGATGAAGAATGTGATGATGGGAATTTTATTTTTGGAGATGGTTGTCATTAATGCTCTTTTAGTTGCCCTATTACTTGTTCAATTTGTCATAAGGGTGTTTGTTAAGATTGTCTTGAAGGGTATGAGTTAATTAATCATTCCTGTCTTTAAATTTATGATTACTAACCTGATCCAAGATGTAATTCTTATTGTTTGAGTTGTAGTATTGAAGGACATGGTTGTTCAGTATGTAAGAGAGGATTTAACAATATTAATAATACTTGTTAATCTATTTGTGGAGATAAATTAGTAGTTGCTGATGAATAATGTGATGATGGTAATTTAATATTTAAGGATGGATGTGATTAATGTTTATAAACTTGCCCTTGTTCAGCTTGTATAAAGGGTATTTGCATCAGTTGCCAAGAAAATAAATTTTATATAAGAATAAATGCTTTAACTAAGAGTAAGGGATTATTCTTAAGGAAACTACTAATATATAATTTTTGGATCTAAGTATAACTTAAACCTTTGAAGATATATGTAGTTAAACTGATAGAATTCAAATAAAAATCTTTGAGTTTAATTAATAAATTTATAATCAGGTTGGTCAGATTATGGCTATTATAAATCAAGATTTTCCTTAATTAACCATAGAAATTAATTTTCAATGTTCAAAGAATAAGATAGTTAAAAGCCACTTTATTTCGTCTAATTATGAGAAAGGAACTAATAATCAAGAAACAGTATTTTTATATCAGTGTCATAATACATTTAATCATTTAATTACATTTTCTTTTAGGTTGGAAAACATAGTGATGAGAGATGAAGTAATACTAATAAAAATAGCTAAAGATACATTGAAATTATCTGTCTTATATGAATAATCCGCATTAAACCTATTATATATTGAAATTTTTGATGTATGATGAATTATTAATATAATAAAAAAATATTAAAATATGTGAACTCTAACATTAATTAGTATTTGCTATTATTATTATATCAATTTTTAAATAAGAGTAATCATCAAGTTTCATAAAATTCTTGAAACTTAATATTTAATAACACTGTTTATTGAAGGCAAAGTTTTCCATATAAATATTTTCACTATTTATAAAATGTTTTCATACACTTCTATTTATCCCTGTAATAATTAGAATAAAGTTAGGGCTAATAATTTCATACCCAACATGGCATTAAAATTTTTTTATTTTATAAATTACTAACGAAAATGTGAAATTTATTTAGAATTGTTAAATCAAATATATTTCAATTATATTTGTAGGAGTTCAAAATTTTTTAGCTCACAATCAAAAAATATGAACTTTAATTTATATCCTAAAAGTTTATTCAATAAAAGGACCCTTGAAACAGCTATAAAGAATTTAGAAACAAATAGAAATCTAAACATCATTTAACAATATTCATTCTCTCAAAAAACAATCTTTAAATGTCCTGTAATCACTTTTATTGCATCATATTAAGTATTAAATTTGCAATACTTATCCAAATAAAGTTTTATCATAAAAATCAAAATGATTTAATAAATTATAATTTATTGACTTAAAAATATTGCTGAATTTTCGAAATTAATTGATTATAATATATCACTGATCAAACGCATTTCATTTTAATATTATTCATTTTGTATTAAGATATTATGTTTATATTTTAAAATTAATGAAATAAAAGATCGAGTAATAGAGTAAATTGAATCTCTTAATTAAGAGATGAAATATTAAGATGTAACATCTTATTAACTAATTTCTTTTGCAAGATTTAAAATTAAAAAAAAATTATTTCTAGAGTATAAAATTAGTTTAATTCTAAAAAATTTGAAATTATTGTCAGAATATCAAATACTAACCATGCAGTTAAATTATGAATAATATTTCAAGTAAGTCCACAGATCATTTTCCCATCGGATTAATTCTAGAGGAAAAAGTGAGAGAAGGCTGTAGTCTATTTTGATTGTACTCTGATTCATTATTGATTCCTATTTGAATCTTCTTATTTTGTAATAGGCCTAGTTTTCTCAACGTTTATTTTTTGATTGGCTAATTTAATTTTCAATAGTGATGTTTATCTTTCAGAGGTTTTCATCATCTTTAGTCAACTCCACCGTTTTGTCTGCATTTTTGATTAATGTTGAAGTTTGAAATGTAAATTTAAAAAAAAATGAATGAGAAACAACAGGCATTTACCGACATGTATTGATTTTTATTTCATAAATTTACCACACTATTGAATGATAATCACAAGGTTTAAATTTGAAGATAATATCTTAAAGTTAATAAATTAAAAGATTGAATAATAATGTTAAAAAATTATGTTATTTTAAGCTTTTAATTAAAGTAATTTACTAACAAACAACAAACTATAACCCAAACTTCTAAGTTTTCTTAAATTTTTATTCCTATAACTACTTAATCCTATTAAGGGTATAGCCATAACACTAAAGATTCTTAAAACTATTTTTTAAACCAAAAATATACTCTCCCTGCTTCAAATTCCATAACTTTCAAATAAAAAGCTTTTTTAATTTTCAGCAGATTATTTTATTAAAAAATCCATTTACTGAATCAAATTGAATTCTGCAATAGTAATTTGACTAAAATTACAATGAAATAATATACTATTTATTTCAACATTTAAATTCAAACATAATTTATTGATGATGTCTGAAAGAAAATGAACTTTTATAATCATAATTATCAAATATGTAAAATTACTTTAGTTTTTTGTATTCATTGAAAAAATAACAATATTCTCTTAAGAAAATTTTCATCTATATTTGTTGCATTCATTTACTTATAAAAAATAATATTTTGTATCATTTTATAGCTTCTTTTTGTTTTTTATTATTCAGCTTTGGAGGGCTTGTTAAAGTTTAAAATTCATAAAAGCCTAGTTTTCCTACTTTATATAGGGTTTCTTGTTTTATTAATTGAAAAATAAAAAAATTTTGGATAATTTTTATACATAAAGTAAAATTATGCAATAGAGAATTTATTTTTTATAGATTAAATAATTTTCCTAAATGAAAAATCATATTTCACAAATTCATAGGCCAAGTTTTATAATTAATGAATTTTAATTTATTAAATACACCTATTCTTAATAAATAAATGAATATAACTCGATTTATCAATGTAATAGATGAAATGACTAAGACTATTGAAATAAATGCCTTTCCTTGCATAAGTACTTGAAAAATCTCTGAAAAAAGTAGAATATGAAAAAAAAAAATATAGTTGGTTTTCAAAAAAGCAATTTGTTATGTATATATTGTTTTTCAATTTTATCAATAATTATTGTTAAAATAACCGTGAATTTGATATATAATTAAACATTATAGAGTACTTTAATTACCATATATATTGATTATTAATTATAACTAAATTAAATCTTAAAGAATAATGAAAAAACAATTTTAAAAGATCATAAATTTAATAGAATAATTAATTCGAAAATTTATTTCCTATATTCATAATTAAACCAATTCTAATTATATAGCATAATTATAATCTATAGTTGCATGATTGTTTTTTATTCATTATTTTCATGCCACCTTGATGTTGTCAAAAACTAAAAAACTCTAAAAGACTTCTTTTTTTTTGAAAAAATATCGAAAAGTGAACCAACCATATTATACACTCCCATATATTTCCAAATTTAAATTATCTAAAATTTTCTATTGAGCATGTTAAACAAAATGTATTTCAATTAGTGCAAGTTATACAAGTATATTAAGTAATTTACATTATTTATCAACACGTGATTCATACATACCATGATTGCAAATATATCATTATTCTTAAAATATTGGAATTAAACAAAAGAACACATTTATTTATAAATTTAGAGCAGATTCCATTAATTTCAAGATGAACTATCGAACAATTATACATTTATGTATTAAATTAAGTTCTCTAAATTAATTCTAATCACAAAAAGTCCAATTATATGATGTAATTTCACTGTATTTAATTACGAACAAATCTATAAACCGATATCATAATAACCTTATTGAAATTTAAAATTCCTGAACAAGCACTATAACTTTCAGCATTATTGTCAAAACACTATATTCAAGAATAGTGTCGTGCTATTGACTTTATATTTTAAATACTTTCATATTCTAATTATCAATAAAAGATGATAAATCGAGGTTTTTATATTTTGGATCGCATGTTAGACAATTTGATGAAAGAACATTGCATGTTTAATAATATTTATTACATTTTTGGCATTCCAATTAAAATCCATCATTAACGGTTTTTGATCAAAATACATTCAAATACATTACCTGATTACAAAGTTGTTTTAGTAGGAGGATATTCTTAACATGCATTCTTGCCATATGTTACACATGAATTATGATACTCTATTAATTATATCTAATATATTACTTTAACATTCTATATGATCTGTATTATAATAATAATATGATAAATTACATAAACATTTTCCTTATGCTTTCAATTCTCTATTAGAACTTTATGAATTGTTTTACAATTAGTTGATCCAAAACCATTTCATATTCCACCTGTATAATGAAAAACTAATTTTTAGTTTATGAATGTGCTTACGCGAACATCCTAAGTATCATCAAGATCACTATAATTATTATTTGTAATCACGAATATACTTTTCTGAAACAACATAATTTTATCCGGCTTTCCATTTTAAACTATATTGGTTTTCAGTTTTATCACCTAGTTGGAAGTATATTAACTCTTTTTATAATTTTTAAATTAATGAATTATAACTAATAAATTAACAATTTTATGATAGTAATGTGTATTTCATTATTTTCTATAATTAATAAATTTGAGAATTAGTTTTAATTCAATCATGCTTTTCCATTTAATTATATTATTATAATTGAAAATACCTGCCCTATTTCAAATTGTCCATAATTTAATCAATAAAAAACTATTAAAAAACAGGCAGAATTTAAGGAAATTTTAATTAATTTTATTGAATATGCTTAATGCTTTTTATTTTTTCAAATTATTGCATCCTTTTGCTTAATTAACATTTTTTTCAATTTTTGAAGACAAGGTGGCAATTTTGCTAAATAAAATCACTAATAAGTGTTATTTTATTTTAAGGCATTTTTGCTTTTAGTAAAAAAACAACAATGATATAATAATTAGTTTTTTGAATTAAAATAGAAAACGATATCCTTCTTAATGATTATAAGAAATAACTTCAAGATAATCTTAAAAGTCATCCAATAATTTAATTATCATTACATAAAAAACATGGCTTTGGTAGCAATATAGAGATTTATTTATAATGTTTTTAATGAGTGAATTGAAGAAAACCAAAATGAATTTTCTTTGAGTATAGTATTTGTTAGAAATTCAATAAGGTTAATTTATCCATTGATAATAGAAATGATTTCTAAAGTAGTAACTTAATAATTGAATTTTAATCTTCCAATTTTCAATAACATAATCATTAAGAATGTCAGTTTATGTAGTACTCATCACAGTTCAAAAACAAATTTTTTATTAACTATGTTTATCATTATTAGTAAATATTAATAAAATGCAAGATATTCAAGAAGTAAATTAAAAATCATTTTACTACGAACTCAAAAATGGCGACCCTATTTTATAATCTTAATGGTGTACTGCCATGGCTATAGATCAAAACAATGAAATGGTCTTGATGTAATAAAATGGATTAATAAAGTGTTTTTAATTTAAACACAATGTATTGAAAATATTAGCTATTATATAAAATCCAAAAGAAATTGTCAAAGTAGTGATGTTTTTAAAGAATAGATCTACTTTTTTATCAACTAAAGGTGATTCTATAATTAATTGGCCTATGAATTTAATGTAATGTTGTAAATTTATCAATAAATAAAAATTACATTCAAATATCATTAATTGTTTAATTCTGAATCAATGTTAGAATTTAATGGTATCATGTTCTGGAGACTAAACAATTAAATTCTGGTAATAATAATCTAATTTATGGTTTTGCTAATAAACAATCATAAAACATAAATAAAATGTGAAAGGAATAGCAATAAATTAAAAAGGTGATTAAGTTATTTCATATGGAGATGATATGTATATAATTGTTATGAAATTTAATTATTAAGAATAAATATGGTAAGTTTAATAGAAAATAAAAGGAGAAAAAAGATTATTAGGATTATGTATTATATCTGATAACATTTTCACATTTTAATATGAACTATCTAAATAATTATGTATTTACACTAATTCTATAAAAAACTTACACTTTAGAAAAACATAGGAGATTCCAATTACATTAGGTAAATATTTTTCTTATTCTCTATCTAAATTTATACCATAAAAAAATATACTTATCAATTTTAGTGGGAGCTAAGTAAATTTATTGAAAATTAACTAAGTAAACTAGAATAATAAATTAATATATAAACTAATTTAAATTATTGATTTTTAAAGCATTAATTCAGGAATAATAAGTGAGGATGGGTAATATTTAATAACTTGGGATTATCTTTCAAAATAAGTCAATATTAGATCATATTAAGAAATAAATGATGTTTGAATTATATAAAATTAATAACATATTAATACATTATGATCCAAACTGTATAATTACAAATTGATTAAATTCAATTTTCATTAAACAAATCATAAATGCGATTATTATAATTCAAATTATGATAGGTTGCATTAATTCCATAATTTACAATAAATATACATCATTCTAACTACAAATTTATTAATGATAAAAAATATGATATAATAATTCAAAAATCTCAAAAATTCTCTCAATTTATCTTGCAATAGAAGATATTTTAAATTCTAGCAACTATTTAATTTATTGATTTTAATTTTATTTTCAAAAAGTAAGCATTAATTTGGACATTTAATATATTTGAAAAAATATAAAAAAAATCTCTATAATTTTATAATTCAAGATAATAGCCTACGAAGAAGCAAGTTGTTCTCGTTTCGTTACTATTAGGAAAGTGGATTGTTTTGATTGAGTCTATTTTAGCTAGGATTTATCTTAAAAATCAAATATTGATTATGATCCAAACTCTTCCTTCAAAAAGAGGGATTTATTTAAACCTATTGAAACTAGGATTAACAGAAATTTAAGGATCTCTTATTTATATGATAAATTTCAATCACAAAAGGATCATCTGACTTTGAAGACCGATGTGTTTGGAGAAGTATATGTATAAAAAAAAAATTTATCAAATTTATTAATTATATGAGAAGAAATTCATAATCCTTCATTTCAGAAATAATATTAGGTTATCTCAGAATTGATTAGGAATAATATCTTGGATTAATAAAATATAAAAATTGGAAAGTTAAGTAATGTTTAAATAATCGATGAAGTTGTCTAGCAGCTCAAGTTGGCTGCTAGATTATATATATCTATGATACAGGTTTTACCTTAGGCAAAGTCCAAGATAGTATTTATATAATACATACTCTGTGATGAAAAGATGCATTCAACTCTTTAGATGGAAAAATAATATTATTTTAGAGGGAACTAATGGACTAGCTAAATGAAGCCAATGAGATTGGTTTTAAAGCAAGCCTAATTACTTAGAAGAATTGGAGATACTAGTTAGTGAAAATGCTTGGTAGTGAACCTAAGTAAAAAAATAATCTGAAAAGACTTTGGAGAATGTCATTTTAGAGAGCTAAGAAACTTACTTCTCCCTTTAAGACAAGAGTTTGATAGGACATAAGTTGAGTAATAGACCAAGAGACGAGTTAATAAAAAATAAAATATAATCAAATCTGGTTGTGATAAGAACCTAGTGTCATTAAACCCATTAATACTTTTAAATTGTAATCTTAATTCCTCAAAATAATAATAATATATTTGATATAATACTACGTAACAATTAGAAAACCAAGATTATCATTACTTGAATAAACCTTTGAAAAGGTTCAGAAGATTAACACTTTTAAGTAGATAGATAGAGCATAGAATTGAAAGGTCAGATAGTAAGAAATTTCTTCAATCTGAGAATTTTAGAGTTAGGGTGCCTTTCTCTTCAAATTGATGGCTAATTTCAAAATTATCTTCCCTAAGTAATTTGACAAATTTAATATATAACCTATATCTATAGAATTTACTTTAGGGTTAGACCCCCATCTTAGCCATAATCAAATTAATATCTTTTTATTTTCTTTAGGTTATTGAAATAGGTAGTTGAAACTGACTATATAAATTTTAGGTTTTTAAACTTTAAATGCTGATTATGGTGATATATCGGTTTTTTTAAATTTTTAAATTGTTGTTAACTTAAAAGGTACCTTCTGTTGTTTCAGCATATGATGTGCGACACTATATACTAGTTAATAATTGTTATGCTTTTGAGTAAGGATATTCTAAATGAGTTTTAGCTTAACCTGGATTGATAAATTATTGAAAATTTAATTTGATTAAAAAAATAATCTTGAATAGGGATAGTTTTGAAAATTAATCCCTATTTTATGAGAATTTGAAAGGTTATGTTTGAAAAGTTTATGATTTTTTAGTTTAATTATCTAAAATTTCTATGTTCCCTAGAACATAATATTCACTGAATTAGACTAATTGTAAGTAGAATCTATTTTATTTTACAATTGATTGAAGAAAAACTCCTGTTTCTTGTCCACAACTAATTTTTTATAATTTTATTAATTAAAAAATATTTTTATAATAAATTAATTTAAGTTCTTCCAGGCTTATGCAAATTCTTAGAAAAAAAATTTTTTAGTTATTATTAAGCTACCACTCAGACAATTAAATAATTTAATTAAATTTTCATATAATAATCAATCTCAAACCTATCATGTGATAAGATCATCAAATAATTTCATTTTATTCTAATATTCAAAGATCATAATTCCGAAATCATGTTTAAGAATCTAGCTTTTATTGTATAAAGAAAATAATTTTATACAGCTCAAATATATCTTATATCAAAGTTTCATTTAGAAATCAGAAAAATACATTCACAATTACTTACAAAGAGAAGTTATATAAAAAGAATTGAAATATACCTATGTTTCTAATAATTAATAATATTGTTAATCTGATAAATTTATTGATGTATCATTTTTTTTGTAATTTTTCGGTGTATATGGCTAATTAATTTAAATAAATTACTTAAAAATACATCGCTAAGTTATTTATTCTCCATAATTTAATTTGCTTAATTTTACAAAGAATAAGCGTTGTCATATTAATTATATTCTAATAAGATAAAAGCTAACAAATTAAAAGAACATTACCTTTTCCAAACAATGAATTCACATGCTATGGATCTATGGCCAAAGCTTTTTCGAAATATTAGAGCGCTTAATCAAATAGATTCATCATTCTTAGGCATTCACCTTTTATTAGATATATGATTTAAGATACCTTTTCCATATAGTGAATTTATATGCTATGGATGCGTGACCAAAGCTTTTTGGAAACATTCTAGTGATTATTAATATTGATTCATCATTCTTAGGCATTCACCTTTAATAAATATTATCTAATATACCTTTTCCATATAATGAATTCACATGCCATGGATCTATAGTCAAGGCTTTTTGGAAATATTCGAATGATTATTAATATTGATTCATCATTCTTAGGCATTCACCTTTAATAAATATTATCAAATATACCTTTTCCGTTTAATGAACTCACATCGTTTGGGTGCAATGCCAAAGCTTTTTCATACCATTTTAGAGCTTCTTCTGATTTATTCATCATTCTTAAGCATTAACCTTTTATTCATTATATATCAATATACCTTTCAATAACAATGAATTAACATGTTATGGATGCATAGCCAAAGCTTTTTCTATCTATTCTATTGATTATTCAAATTATTTCATCATTAATAGGCATTCACCTTTTATTAATTGAACTCATTTACTTTTTCCATACAATGAATAAAAATGCTATGGATCTAATAACAAGGCTTGATCATAAAATTCTAGTGCTTCTTGAAATTTATTCATCTTTTTTAAGCATCCTCCTTAATAATATAACTATAAGCCAATTTACCTTTTCCTTATAATGAATTCACATGCTATGAATCAACAGCTAAAGCTTTTTCGATCCATTTTAATGCATCTTCATATTTTTTCATCATTTTTAGGCATTCACCTTTTACTAATTGAATTCAATTACTTTTTCCATACAATGAATTGACATGCTATGAATCTATATCCAAAACTTAATCATATTACAGAAGTGCTTATTAATATTAATTCATTATTCTTAAGCATCCACCTTTTATATCTTATAGTTCAATTACTTTTTCCATACAATGAATTCACATGAAATGGGTCAATTGCTAATGCTTTATCAAAATAGTAAATAGCTTCTTTTTTCTAATTAATTGAAAATAAATAAATTCCTAACATTTTCATCTAATACTATACCATATCCACATAACCCTAAAAGACAATTATTTTTTAAATTTAGTGATTTTGTTATTATTAGGTTTGCTTCATCAATCCTTTTTAAAAAGATTAGACATATTCCTTAAATGTTTAATTATTATTTTATACCTTTTCCTGCCATAGATTCTGCATGATTAGGGTCTTTAATTAAAACTTTATCATAAGTATTAATAGCTTCTTGAAATCTTTTTAAGGACCTTAAGCAATCTCCTAAAAAGTTTAAAGTTGAACTTTTACCTTAATAATAGAAATAGTCTTTATTGGATGAATCTATTTCAATAGCTTTTTGATAGTATTATAGAGCCTGATTAAATTAATAAGTCTCTCTTAAACATTCTCCTTAATATATATAATCAAATAGAACCTATTCCAAATTAGGCTTCTTAATTATTAATGTTTAATTAAACACATTTTTCGTATTACTATTAAGCTTATTAATAAGACTTTTGATTTCTTAAGATTTTACCTAAATATTATAATCATTTAATACCCATTGTCAAAAATGAGATTTCATATTTTGGATTAATTGTAAGTATATTATTGTGTATCTATAATGCATCTCTTACATTTTTCAATTCATTTAATGAATTTGCTTAAAATTATTAATATTATTAACCTTTTTAGTACATTATTTCTATATTATAAGGTTCAGTTAATAATAATCTATCAAATATTTGAATTGCTTCATTTTTTTTATTTTTGGCATTTAAAGAGATACCTAAAAGAGGATAAATATTAATCAAAACCTCTTTGATATTCTTCTTTATTTAATTTAATCTATTAATCAGTGATCTAATATTTGATGAGATGTAATTCTAATTAAACAAAAAGATCATCCAAGATTTTCTAAAATTTCTACAGAAATCCCAAAATATTATTTTTTAAATGATTCTTAAATTCATCTAATTAAACCATAGAATCAAGAGCTTAGTATATTTAATAAGTTTCAAATTAATTAGTTTTTTCTTCTATTCCACAGAACTTGTATGATAAACCTGAAATCAACTTATCATATGCATTAAGTGTTAGTTAGAATTAAAGTTGACATTCCGAAACAAGAACTTTAGAATATTTTGATTAGTCAATTAAAAATTATTGTAATTCTTGAATACTTTGGATATCTTGATCGTAATGTTAACCATGCTTTTTCTACTTTTAACAATTGAGACAGAAAATTCGATTCTCTTTGCAATCAATTGATTTACACCAGAAAAGCGCAGGTTTATCAGGATGATCATTACATTTAATTTCCTAACTCTATTAAGAGTATGAAATTTAATTCATTATTTAATTATTCATCAAATTTATAGATTATACAAAATTCGAATTTTTTTCTTTTATTATGAATTCTAAATTTTAATTAAACAGCTGATCTAAAACATATTTAATAGAATTATTTATATAAATAAATGATATAAAAATGTCCCTATTATCTAATTACGCGTTTATGAGATAGTTAAATATAGGCAAACAATAATTTTTATATTATTATTCCTTAAAGGGTATTAATATATCTTTGCATTTTATTCATATAAATGGTAATGTTTTGTTTGAATTAAGTAGATAAATCAAATGAAATATATTAATTAGACTCATGAATCAAGAATTGATGTTCAACCCTTCGCAGGAAAAAAGACTATAATTCTAAAGGTTCTTAAAATGAAATTGAAAATGAAATTTTTAGTCTCTATTTCAATAAAAATAGCAAACTCAAATAGATGTAGCTTTTTAGTAATTTTTTGGATCAAATACAGATATCTCAAAAGAATTATTAGGATGGAGACTCAAAACTCAGTTATAAATGATATTTTGGATGATAGTTTTTCAGATTATGAAGATTAACATGCTCATAACAAACAATAATTTTAACTCTGGATTAGTAAAGTTAGATTGAACATAATTATACTCAGCCTTAATGGTAGAAAATTCTAAAAAATTCACTTAAGTTGTTTTATAAAAGTGGTCGCTATTAAATGGTTAACTCTCAACTTTAATAAATGAAAGTATGATAAAAGCTAAAATATTCTACAAATGAAGATGAAAACTAACCTTTTGTAGACAAAAGACTAAAATTTTAATCAAGAAAAAAATCTAAGTGATCTTTAAATTTAATAAACTGGATGCATAGCTTAATTTGATTGTACATACAAATATAGATCAAACTTACTAAAAAAGGAAGAATCCCAAGCTGTTTGCCTTAGCAATATAGTAGAATTTTCGTTTTTAATTTGATTGCTTCAATATCTATTTTCATTATCCCCTTATATTAGATAATGATAAACTTAAATTGTAGTTAATTGAATTAAAAAAAAAAATTCAGAATTTATTTTTCCTATTATAAGTTCTCTAATTATGAAAATAATTTGGAATAAAAAATTAAGTAAACTTGAATATAATATCTGATGTTTTATTAGTAGGAGTAACTTTGTATTATTAATATTAATATGGATTTTATCAATATTAAAGTAATTATTTATGCAAAGCTACAATCATGTTACCATTAAAATTAGGTTTCCTTACCAGAAAAAATTCTATCTAAAATAAAGATTAATTGCTCTTATTTCCCATTTTAACAGGTCCTTCATAGATCCAATTGAAAGAAATTAATCCCCTAAATTGTTCCATGGAAAATTGAAAAAATTTCAATTGCAATCACAAACTAAGACCTAAGATAAATATTTATATTAGAGCCCAGTCATTCTGTCATGTTGATTTTATAAATATTTGTAATTAGTTTGATTCTATTCTCTAAGGATTATTATTTTAATATTAAAGAAATGACAATTTTAGAAAAAAATTATCTTTTTTATATCCAATTTTGGCAGGCTGATTATAAGTGGGTTAAATAAATAAACTAGATTTTATCAGATTTTATTTATTATCTATAGATAGAGATTGAGATAAATCATCAATTTAAGATTGTGATTAAATTTCATAATTTCAAAGAGTTAAATTAGATTTCTCTATCTCATCTAGATTTATCAAAAAAATTATGATTAATAGTATTAAATTCTTTATTTTCAAGAATCTAGAAAATCTTAAAAAGATATTAGCACATAAAAATCGATTTAATTTAATTTTCATTAAAGGAATCAATCGCAAGCATATTATTTTTATGTTCATTGTTCATTGTTCATTATTAATTATAATAATTAATAAACAGTAAAAATTAAAGTTTCAGTTTTAATGTATATCAAGCAATCCAGAAAAATGAATCAAATATTTTCAAGTCTAGAGAAAAAATGTTCCCAATATATACCAAAAAATAATTATCTTAAATCTATAGTTTAGTAAATGCAGATAATGTGAAAAATAAGTTAAATTAAATTGATCATATACTCTAATTGTTTAATCAAATTTATAAGTAAGAGTTAATGAACCTTTTAAATTTAAACCTATAATATAAATTTCTACATTGTTAATTTTTTCAACCTTCTGAATATTTCATTTAATGAAAAATAAATTGAATAAATTAAAAATAAAATGTCAATAAATTGTCTATAAAAAAACATTTTTTTTCACTGATACTTATTCTTATCATTATTAATTTTAACACAATTACTATATAATTATCTTAATTAATATAAATTTTTTTAATATTTTTAAATTCCTAGACTATATTTAAAAAGAATTTAAATCGAACTTAATATTACCTTTTTCATGTTTATACAATTTTATTAAATTTATTTATCTCGTTCAATTATTCTAAAATATTGATTTACTCTCTTAACATCATCTTTTCTAATTAAGTTCTAAAAATAATTAATTTCTCTATTCCTACATGAAACTAACTAACTTAATTTGCATATCCTTAAAATACTCTATTTCAAAAACTAATAATTAAATAAAAAATTTAATTTATTGTTTCATTTAGATTTAATAAATAAAAAAATGTTCTATGAAATCAACCATTTTTTAAATATTAGAAAATTTATTATATATATTGTAAATTAGAGAAAGATTATTATNTCACAAACTAAGACCTAAGATAAATATTTATATTAGAGCCCAGTCATTCTGTCATGTTGATTTTATAAATATTTGTAATTAGTTTGATTCTATTCTCTAAGGATTATTATTTTAATATTAAAGAAATGACAATTTTAGAAAAAAATTATCTTTTTTATATCCAATTTTGGCAGGCTGATTATAAGTGGGTTAAATAAATAAACTAGATTTTATCAGATTTTATTTATTATCTATAGATAGAGATTGAGATAAATCATCAATTTAAGATTGTGATTAAATTTCATAATTTCAAAGAGTTAAATTAGATTTCTCTATCTCATCTAGATTTATCAAAAAAATTATGATTAATAGTATTAAATTCTTTATTTTCAAGAATCTAGAAAATCTTAAAAAGATATTAGCACATAAAAATCGATTTAATTTAATTTTCATTAAAGGAATCAATCGCAAGCATATTATTTTTATGTTCATTGTTCATTGTTCATTATTAATTATAATAATTAATAAACAGTAAAAATTAAAGTTTCAGTTTTAATGTATATCAAGCAATCCAGAAAAATGAATCAAATATTTTCAAGTCTAGAGAAAAAATGTTCCCAATATATACCAAAAAATAATTATCTTAAATCTATAGTTTAGTAAATGCAGATAATGTGAAAAATAAGTTAAATTAAATTGATCATATACTCTAATTGTTTAATCAAATTTATAAGTAAGAGTTAATGAACCTTTTAAATTTAAACCTATAATATAAATTTCTACATTGTTAATTTTTTCAACCTTCTGAATATTTCATTTAATGAAAAATAAATTGAATAAATTAAAAATAAAATGTCAATAAATTGTCTATAAAAAAACATTTTTTTTCACTGATACTTATTCTTATCATTATTAATTTTAACACAATTACTATATAATTATCTTAATTAATATAAATTTTTTTAATATTTTTAAATTCCTAGACTATATTTAAAAAGAATTTAAATCGAACTTAATATTACCTTTTTCATGTTTATACAATTTTATTAAATTTATTTATCTCGTTCAATTATTCTAAAATATTGATTTACTCTCTTAACATCATCTTTTCTAATTAAGTTCTAAAAATAATTAATTTCTCTATTCCTACATGAAACTAACTAACTTAATTTGCATATCCTTAAAATACTCTATTTCAAAAACTAATAATTAAATAAAAAATTTAATTTATTGTTTCATTTAGATTTAATAAATAAAAAAATGTTCTATGAAATCAACCATTTTTTAAATATTAGAAAATTTATTATATATATTGTAAATTAGAGAAAGATTATTATTATAAATTTATAAGTTATTTATTACTGCTCTTAATTTCATTTGATCAAGTAAACAACTCATTAAAATAAATAAGTTTCTCTCTTGAATAAATAATTCTTAACAATTAACAATTCATAATTGGAAGGATTATCGCAACTTTTTTTTATTATTCTTAAATTCTTACAAGCATATTTATCATTTTTTAATCTTAAACTATATAAAGAGTATTTATCCTAAAACCAAGCAAAAATTTATTATTATAATTGTTAATAGATATAAAAAAAATAAAAAATCATCTATATCTTATGAATGATCTCACTTTTTCTTTTTGTTTTATAAAGAAGATTGTTGAGTAAAATGAATTTCAAAAATAATTTTAAGAAAATAAAACTGAAATGAACTAATTATTAATAATTTAATTCAATTGATATATTAGTTTTTTTATTTTAATTTATAATATCTATCTTGTAGCATATTTATATCGTCCATTAAACCATAAATGTTGAGCTTTTATCTGCATGTTTAATGTCACTATTCCATCAATATTATTTCTAATTATTTTTAGAGATATATATATATATACTTTTTTGACTAATTAAATAATTATATTCCTTAACTTTACTTTTTTGTTTAATATTTATTTTCTTATCCTATCACTATTTGCTCTAGGATTGCCTTTTACATCTCAATTTATAATTGGCCATGAAGTATAGATGTGCATTTTAAAATAGGAAATAGTTTTTTTTATCTTGTAGTTAATTCAGCAGGTAATCTTCCAAAGATCTAAGATCCAATATTTTCGACACTTAGAAAAACATTTAGAGAGTATTCGTCATTATATTTTATTATCATATTTTTATTAGCTTAAAATATTTGAGTGGAAATCTCTTATATTTAAATAAATAAGTATACAATCTCCAAGCTAAAGCCTTATAATACATTAGATCACTGTCATCATCTTATTCATTTAATTTTAAATTTATTTAAAAACTTTAACATTATCTTATTCAAACTATTAATTAACATGGATAGAAAGTTTTGTTATTTTATTTTAAAGATCAATAATTTTTTGTTCTTATTGTTTTATAATCTATAAGTAATCTTAAACAGCATTTTTGATTTATTTCTTTATAATTATTCCTTGAATTATTTTCTATCTTTATAAAAATTTAGATAAATTTTCAAGTTATAGATTTTATTATTTATATAA